TGCAGATTGTGCTTATCTGGCTCATTAGCATAACAATACCACACATAAGGCTAATTCAAGATAAATGGCTTAAACCAGCCAGCTTCCTATCTTGGTAATATTTATAAGTCCTTGTTTAAATAATCAAGTGCACAGATTCCTGTGGATTGAGATGATAAAAACATTACTTCACTAAATTAAATTTGAAAAAAATTAATTAATATCTTAGAAATCGAATATTTTAGCAAGTTTAAACATTGTTAAATAATTTTAAAAATTGATGAAATTAGAACTGTTTTGATCACATTTTTATTATATTGTATACTTTTTACACTACAGTAGCTGTCAACGTCATGGTCTGATAGGCCTAATAGCCCTATGTGATTTACTGTTTATACTCAAGTAACCAATTTTTTTTTTAGTTTATGGAGCTGCTGACAGCTCCCACTGGACCATCTGACAGCTCACTATGGACCATTTCTGCTAACAGGAACTTTGGCCTCATGAGATGATGTAGCTGATCTACTTGCCAGGTTAATTGGATTAAAATCATTAATTGTGTTCAACGGTCAGTTAGAGCATGGAGGTATAAAATATAATAATATATATTTTTTATACCTCCATGGTTAGAGCCAGATAAATAGAATGATAAGCAGGCAACAGGACCATCACATGACCAAGCAGGAGTCTGATTGGTCTATCCATGGATTCTGGTCTCCCTCTGGGCTACTTCCTGCCTTATCAAGTGGCTCAGCCACTGGATTAAGAAGTTAGTCCAGAAACTACATCTATTCCTTCGTCTAGGGTGTGTTCAGGCGAGAACGGGAAAAATGTACATAGCATTTTCAAAAAGCCACTTAATTTTCCATATTTCGATGTGAACTCGACTAATCTCTCAGAATGTTATAACCTTCAAGATTGTAAACAAGCATCACCTAAATATATTACTTCATTCATGTGATTGACTGACTGACTTTGATTAGGCCCTATAAAAAATATTATTAGTCTATAACCCTAACTAGGCTGGAAAAGTGATAAGGGAGGGGAGCTTTTTTTTTTGTTATTTTTTTTTTTCTAAAGCCAAATATCACTTTTCAGCGGTTCACTATCCATGTGTTGCCAAATTTCATAGTTTTGTCCATGCTCAGGGAGTAAGTGGGGGGAATTTTTGAGAATATAGGTATCATGTTGTTTTATTCCACTTAAAATTTTAACATTTTCCCCTCCTCCTATTACATCATGATACAAAGCTATGGTCTAGTAGTGGTGACCAACAATTAATAATATGTGATTAAGTCATGTATCATTAACTGTATTACCTTACCTTGTGATCTTAACATTGTCGAGGTAAAATACAACCCCAATGTACAGTATTCTGGTGGTAGATTAAGATTTTATCATTTTTGAAAGTAAGTCTCTTCTCAATTGTATTACAGTAATTTAAACAGAGCAATTTTGTAAAACAGACTTACATCTTCTCTGAAACTGTATCCTAGCTATATAAATATGTTTTAAATGAACAATAAAATAAATAGTATAAAATAAGTATTAAAAAAATTGAATGATGGTTTCAAAGTTGCGAATAGGGAAGTTTCACATTCACAAGAACGATTAACCAATACGGTTACACCATCATTTTTTTAGTCAGTCCATCTCATACAGCAGCATGTCTGTCACAGGGTAGGCGATTTATGACTTTCAAATGAATCCACGATCATCAGCTCGTATATGTATTGTTGAGAATGTTTTTGACACGAATTACGTTAATGAAAATGAGGTATTCGTTATCGTTTTCGCAAGGACTTTTAACTGTTACCAGGATAGGAAGCTGGCTGCTTTAAGCCGTCTAACTTGATTTAGCCTTATGTGCGGTATTGTTATGCAAATGAGCCAGATAAGCACAATCTGCACATGCTCAGAAAAACAAAACTTTCCTTAGCCACACTGCGTATCAGCTAGGCGTACAGAAGCTAGGCCTAGCTTATCTTATTTTAGTTTGTTACGCACCACTAACTTAGGCTGTTTGTCATCACTTCAAGATGTCTACCGATTCGTGGAAAAAAGGCCTATTAAAATCCAAATATTGGTGTTGTGAGCAATACACTTTAATTTTATATAGGTAAGTAGTAAGTATATGAATAATTTTAATGCACTAGTTAGTTGATAACTTCATTCTAATTTGTTTTGGGTCTTTTTTCTGCATTTTTATAAGCGGTTAGACATGGCATAGGCCGGGTCTAGCTAGCCTAATCACATCAATTTAAAATCAAATTTGTAGACATACTTGCCTTATATCTTAACTTGCAGGTGATTTTATTGGTAGACTAGTATGTTTTTAAGTGTGTAAGTATGATTGATTTGCATGCCAAGTGAAATTAGTACCCTTATTTTGCTTTGTTTTACCGTACCATAATTCTCGGCAAGGCCTAGCTGTACGCCTAGCCGATACGCAGTACGGGCCACAGTGTGGCTAAGGAAAGTTTTGTTTTTCTGAGCATGTGCAGATTGTGCTTATCTGGCTCATTTGCATAACAATGCCGCACATAAGGCTAATTCAAGATAGACGGCTTAAACCAGCCAGCTTCCTATCCTGGTAACAGTTAAAAGTCCTTGGTTTTCGTACGGCTGCAAAATCTCCCTATCCACTTCATTCAATGGTATAAACACAATGATCAGCTGGTACTCTCACTCCAGTGGCAAAAAAACCATCAAAATAAATATAAGGCCCCATAAAAAAAATGATTAGTTTATCATCCCCACGCGCATCTCTTTTGACGAAATCGCGATTTTTTTTTTTTTTTTTTTACTAGATTTTTTTCATTGAAAAAACGATCGTTTGTTCGTCAAAAACAAATTCTTCGAGATTTGTTCGCCGTTCGTCGTCAACGAACGTATTTATAGGCGATCTTTTTCATACTGCGCATGTCCACAAAGAAAGAGAGATATGACGTTCGTTGACGACGAACGGCGAACAAATCTCGAAGTTTCGCGCGCTAGCTTTGCTCTCTCTATAATATCTAGAATCTCGATCCACCCTGTGGTGGCTGGATTTTGTGTTCAGCATGCCGCTTATTGTCATGCAAATCAGGGAAGGAATAAAAGTAAGGAATAACTTCATTCTTTATATACAATATTGTATATATTCTTGCCATCTTTTAATATTTAAAATGCATATTTAATAAAAGTACATGTGTTCTTGTTAATCCGACTTCACTTTATTCTTGACTTTTGTGTTTTTAAACCAATCA